TTAACTTATTTATATAATGCATAATCTAAATTAATCCTTATTCAACCACCAGAAAGAAGAAACGTCAGAATTACCTGAAACTCTAAGCTTTATAAACCCTAAACTAATAAACCACTTCTCTCCAAGCACTGCAGGACAAAAAACATAGCATATTGAGTAGATAAAAGATTCCACTTTTTCTTATATAATCCAAAACCTCATTTCCATTCATTCAATTCCTAAAGAGAATCGTTTAATAACAAAATTTAACCACTATGGCCAACAAACCAGGTGATTAATTCTTCTGTATTGTTTTAGTGACTCTTCTTTGGGTGTTTTTGAACATTTTCAGCTTATTTGTTGCTTTGTTTCTTCTTTGTTTGAGTCTGAAGATGAAATGGCTTCAATGGAGAATGGAAGTGACGATGATGTTAAAGTTCATGTGTTCTCATCATCATCTGAGGTTAATACTTTAAACTCAAAGCCCCAATTTTTACTTTCCATTTGATTTTGGGTCTGTTTTTTTTCTTCAATTGGGAAAAAAGAGTTTGGTTCTTCTATGTGTTCATGGATGAATTGTTACGTTTGTGTCATCAGTTGATTGGAAAGCTGCACGAGAAGTGGAGTCCGGAAAAGAAGAAACCGTATCCGGCTATGTATTCCAGCGTGTTTGGAGGGATCATTCTCGATCCTGCCATGATGGTGATCCCCATTGATGATCACATGGTTCATCGAGGGCACGGTTGTGTTCGATACAGCGGTCATTCTAGATGGGTACGTTCATGATTTCTCTGTTTTCTGTACAAAGGAGACTGTTCGATGATTGCATTAATAAGGACGAAATTTCATGTTCATGATAACTCTTTCATACATCAGTTAACCTATGTTTATGAAGCTTAATATAAATTGTCATGTTTCTGTAGCTATCTATATGAGCTAGATGCTCATTTAGATCGTTTCCTTCGATCGGCATCGAAAGCGAGAATCACGTCTCCATTTCCTCGATCTACTCTCCGTAGTATTCTCTTGCAGTTGACAGTAGCGTCCCGGTGTAAGGAAGGAACTCTGCGTTACTGGTTGAGTGCCGGTCCCGGTAATTTCTTGCTTTCTCCTTCTGGATGCCCTACATCCGCATTCTACGCTGTAGTCATCGACGATGTCGTCTCGCAACACAACGACGGGGTTAAAGTGATAACCTCGACTATCCCTATGAAGTCACCTCTTTTCGCTACAATGAAGAATGTGAATTACTTGCCAAATGTTCTTTCAGTGATGGAAGCCGAGGACAAGGGTGCATTTGCTTCAATTTGGGTTGATGAGGAAGGTTTTATCGCCGAGGGTCCGAACGTGAATGTAGCATTTATAACCAATGATAAGGAGCTTATTTTGCCTTCATTTGATAAGATCCTAAGCGGATGTACCGCAAAAAGGCTTCTGGAATTAGCACCTAAGTTGGTCGAGCAAGGGCGTCTTAAAAGTGTCAAAACTGCCGATCTTACCGTCGAGGAAGCCAAACATTCAGCTGAAATGATGTATATAGGAAGCACCCTACCGATATTGCCGATCATCGCGTGGGACGAACAGCCTATTGGAGATGGTATGTACGATCTATTATTTACGTGCATCTATTCGTCGCATATGTAATAATGTTGCATTGCATGATTAGTCTACCTCGGAATTTCGGCCTAGTGACAACGTATTAGTTCTCGTTTCCTTACCAAAGTACGCTTTATTTTGATCTCTTGTTGCAGGAAAAGTGGGAGATTTGACAATGGCACTTTCTGATCTGCTTTGGCGTGATATGGTAGCCGGCCCCAATACACAGAGGCTCCGCGTTCCATATATTAATTGAACCCGGTGTTCGTCAAGGGTGCTTGGAAAGGGCTCATTCTGCTAGGCGTCTCAGCGCTTACTATTCCAGCAGCATGTCCTATAGCTAGATTGCATCCGTCTGTTCTGTTTTTGCTTCTATTAAAAGGAATTAGCGAAAAGGTTCCAAATAAGAGTTCAATCTCGTATAACTGTTATTCGAGTTTGTGCTCGTCTTATTTTGCAAAAACATAATGTTGTTCCGCATCAATCATTATGGTACATGTGTTAACAGTCGGTTTTTAAACCATTGAACGAGAGTTTCTGAAATAACTCGTTCGCAACATCAATATGCCCCGCTTTCCACAACCCATCGATCAAGATATTAATAGAGACAGTATCAAGTTCCAATCCGTTGTTCCTCATTGCTTGAAAAAGTTTCAACACCTCTTCGAGTGTACCATTTTTGCATAGCCCATCAAGCAAAATCGAACATGTCACCATATTTGGAACTTGTCCAGAAGCAAGAATCTTCCTAAACAACCCACTGGCAGTTAAAACTCTCCCCAACCGAAACATACTTTGCATAAGAGTGTTGTATGTGACAATATTCGGGATTGGTCCTTTTCGAGATATTTCATGAAAGATTTCCATTGCCTTGTCTAACCTTTTAGCTTTGCAATATCCATTGATCAATGTGTTGTAACTAACTATATTAGGTGCACAACCCTTCTCCATCAACTGCAGAACTCCTCTAACTTTTTCTACTTTTTATTTCTATTTTCTTTTATTTTTTTCTCAACCAAAGCTAATTGCATTAATTATTTTTTCGAAACTGTGTTTAAAGCATGGGTATTGGGTAGACACTTCTATAGTGTTTCTTCCCAAATATTTTCTTTTCACGATGTTTTATATATTTCGATTATTAAAATAATTATTTCGGTACTTCAAAATTTCATTCCCTATATAATTATTGGGATAAACTATATTATAAGTAATCTAATGATAAATATATTTTTATTTTAATCATTTAATTATAAACAATCACAATTCAACCAAAAATTGGGGACATAAGTCCTTGAATTTCTAGGGCTTCAAACAAATTTTAGGAAACTATAGAATTACCATAGAGTTTTGAAAATTATAAATTTACCCCAGAATTCTTGCAAATATTGAAGAAAATTTTTTTTCTATTATACCCGAGAATATAAAAGATAAAAATGATTTGTTTGGATTTTTTTGAAATATTGAGGTTAATATTGTAAAAAAATTAACGACGCTACTGAAAATCAATATTAATATTAAAGATTAATTTTGCTATTATGGCTTGAGAATATAAATAATTAAAAGGAACCGTTTAAAAAAAATGACATCATGAAATTGATATTGTAAAACAAAATTGAAGCAAAATTGAAAAAAAAATATTTTGAGGATTAATCTTGCTACATTATAAAATTTTACATGTTACTTATATCCATTAGTAGTAAATGAAATTATTGACCTGACTCACTTTTAATTGACATAACAACGATAATTTTAGCTTTATACTTTTATTTATTTAATCTTAATTTTAAATAACATTAGCTCTCCATTATTTTTAATATTCCATTTAGTTTTGGGTTGAGTTTTTAAAAGACTTAAATATAAAAAAAGGTGGTCAACTTATGTACTTGAATTTAGTTTAGTGTTTAATATTTATTTCGTTCTAATTTGGTGTTTAATATTTTATTCCGTAACTTAGTTTAAATCAAACTGCGATAGACTATTAATTTCGACGGTTAAATACCACCTGACATTTGTTTAATATTAAAAAATGAATTTTATAATTAAAATAATAATAAATTAATTAATGGAAATTGAAAAAAATTAAAAATTAAAAATTAAAAACTTTTTAAAATTTTTACCCTGTAACCCTAAGTCATTTTCCCTCTCTTCCCCTCTACTCTCTTCCCATTCCTTCTTTACCTTTTTTTGGAAATTGAATTCAAGAACCCTAAATTGAATTCAAACGGGGTTCATAAAGTTCAAGTTGTTCAAACGGGGTGCAGCTCCGAGCTCGACGATATTTTTTTTCTCCTTATGCTTCATCCGTCAGAAGTACTATAGCAATTAACCTCGAAAGATCATAGCATTTGGAGTTTGCAGAAAAAAAATTGGTTTAAATTTAATTTTAATAGAATCGGATAGGTGGTAAACAATGGTTTGGGCTTTGCTTCCCGTCGATCCTTCGTCAGGTAATTAAAGCTTAATTGAAGTGCTACTATTGCTTCATTTTTGCATTGCGTTAATTTCAATTCTGAAACCCTATTCCATTTGGGCAGCTGAAGAAATAGGAGAAGAAGATGATTACTATATTTTCAAGAAGGGAAAGTATACTGTGGGTCGAAAAGGTTATCTAATTTGCTCCCTTTCACTTTCTTTTCTTTTCTTTCTGGGTGGAAATGGTTAGATGCTAATTTTTGTTTTCTTTTGCTATATTGGGGGTTTGTTCTCCTCTCCTCTGTGTTTTGATTTGTTGAAGGGTGTGATGTCATCATTCACAAAGACAAGGGGGTGTCCAGAATCCATGCTCACATAATGGTCGATGGAATGACCCAACCATCTCAAGTTATAATCAAAGATTGTCCAAGTACGGGACATTCATTAGCAAGAATCTCACTTCTAACAAGAAAGTTCATCACTTTCCTAATAAACAGACCTCTCTTAGATTCCGAGAATCGAAGGATCAAACAACAGCTTACCAGTCTTCTTTGATCCTTTACTCCCGTCTACAGATTTTGAGAACTGATTTAGGGTTGTAAATTCAATTTCAGGAAAAGAGTAGAGAAAGAATAATAAAGAGTGATGGAGAAGAGAGAGAAAATGATTTAGGAAGAGGTAAAAAGTTAAAAAGATTCTTAACTTTTTAATTTTTTTAATTTCTATTAATTAATTTCTTATTATTTTAATTATAATTTTTTTTGACATTAAACAAATGTCAGATGTCATTAAACTGTCGAAATTAATGATCCATCATTACTTGATTAAGATATGAAATGAAATGTTAGACACTAAATTAAAACAAATAAACGTTAAACAATAAATTGAAACTAAAGAAATAAATTGAACCAATTTTGTATATTTAAACCTTTTTAAAAACTTAAATATTAGTTTCTTTTAACAAAATCGAAACAGAATGTTTACAGCTCCAAATTTTGTAAACCCCATTTAAAAGATAAAAAAAAATCTAAATTACTCTCTCTAATGCCACTGTTCTCTGCCACTTGATAAAAATTTCATCATAAAATCCATATTTGAATTTTTTAAGAACCGGTAAAGAATCCGACCCGGTGACCCCAAATGGCAGCATACAGAGCGGATGACGACTACGATTATTTGTTTAAGGTGGTGTTGATCGGAGATTCGGGTGTCGGGAAATCGAATTTGCTGTCGAGATTTACGAGAAACGAGTTTAGCCTGGAATCAAAATCTACAATCGGAGTTGAATTTGCCACCCGAAGCATTCGGGTCGAGGATAAAATTGTTAAGGCCCAGATTTGGGACACCGCTGGACAAGAAAGGTATATTTTTATCATTATTCCCATCTCTCATTTTCTTTGTTTTGGTTAATGGGGTTCTGGAATTTGATAGATTTGAGGGAAATGAGGTTTTTCGTTGTTGATTGGATTGGTATAATGCTGGGAATTTTGGATTTTTTAGGCTGTTTGGTTGCTGAGTACGTAGGAAAATTATACTCAAATATCTTTCCATTTTTCTGTTTAATTATGTTTTTATAAGTGTTTTCATTGAATGAAAATTTGGAGCATTAGAGGAAAAGTTGGCAGTTCTAGATTAGTGTATTGCTTTGGTGAAATTGGGTACATGGGAATTTTTGTTTTCTTTGTTGGGTTGTTTGGTTGCTGAGAAAATGCGCGGATAAGTTGCATTCAGAATTTTCTTTTCAATTATAATGTATGTGGACTTGGGCTTCGGTTTTTTCGTGAAAAGGGGCAATTTTTTGGATTGGTGTATTGATTTAAGGGGCATATTTGAAAGAAAAATTTTCATGATTGGCTTAATGCAAACTCGATTTGAAATTTTGAAGTACAAATTAGCTTGTTGTAAGCTATATACAAAAATCCCAGAGTGAGTTTTCTAATTGATGGACTACAAAGAATATTATTTTTGGGTCTAATTAATAAATGTTGCGTGCTTTGACCCATTAGTAAAAAGATGGGATAAACCTACTTTTCTGAAAAGTCATAGTTGAATCATGTTTTTTTTACAGAAATGAATCATGGTATTTTTCGTCATTGTTCTAGCCTACTTCTGGTTTTGAAGTTCTTAATGTTATTCCGAAATTTCAGACCTCATTAGCTTGTCTGTTTCAGTTATGATACATGCCCTATATCTGTAACCTTAGATGCCTGGACTTGTCTGAAAGCATCGACGTGTTGCGTAATCGGGTACTTTGCAATAGAGCCATCTATGCATAGATGGGCAACATTTATGTGGAAAAAGGGCACCAAATGTTGAGCATGAAATGAAAATTGTGTTCTCTCTTTGAAAAGAAGTCGGGGGGGGGGGGGTAAATTTCCAATAATCCGTTCCATGTTTTATTATAAATTGCTCGGTTGATGATGAAATTTCTTCATCGACGTGAATTAGTGAAGGGGGAATCACGAAACTGCAGTTCTTGCTTGTACTTTTCTTTCATTGTGAGAAATCAATAGAAGATTCTGATTTTGAATATTCCCTGCTTGCAGTGTTTTGGGTTGTGAATGCCTGATTTGTAGTTTCTCCTATAAATGGATGTGTTTTATAAGTTTCTTGTTGTATTCTTTTCTAGATACCGGGCAATTACAAGTGCATATTACCGAGGGGCTGTTGGTGCATTGCTTGTATACGATGTTACCCGACGTGTCACGTTTGAGAATGTCCAGAGATGGCTGAAGGAACTTCGAGATCATACAGATGCTAGTATCGTGATTATGCTCGTTGGTAACAAGGCTGACCTGCGACACTTGTTTGCGGTTTCCACTGATGACGCCAAGGACTTTGCCGAGAGAGAAAAAACCTACTTTATGGAGACATCTGCTCTTGAATCCACGAATGTGGAGGATGCATTCACTGAAGTACTAGCTCAAATATATCGCGTGGTCAGTCGAAAAGCACTCGAAGCAGAGGTTGATCATACAGTATTGCCTAAGGGACAAACCATCAATGTCGGATCTAGGGACGACGTTTCGGCAGTCAAGAAAGGATGCTGTTCTGGGTAACTGTTTAGATGATTCCGAATATCCAAATTTTCAACCTTGGTTTTTCATCTCATTAAGCACAAGACTTATTTTTTTTCCTCTTAAAACATTGGTATTTGATTCTCGTGTCTTGTATGTATTTGGTGTACATATTTGAGTCTAAAATATACTCATCTTCCTAGCATTCATTGATAAAAACAACAAAGAAATATCAAAACGGGAGCAAGAATGAATAAATCCAACTCCAAACCTAAGCATGGGGTAGAGGTGTTCAAATCTGGGTACCCAGGGTCCTCGGGTACTTGATTGGCCGGCCTGTGTCTGACCCGGATGTTCGGATATCCGTAATACGGTAATCTTTTTTTATCATTTTCAAATTATTAACTTGAAAAAAACCATACATAAATTTAAATGTTCGAATTACATACTCTAATATCCGAACATAGAATTTAAAAATGTTTTTCTTTTAATTTTAATAGTTTAATTTAATATATAAAAATAAATGTAATCGGTACTCAGGTAATAAGACACGAGAGACAAAACGAATAGGTTGAATTGTTTTCTGGGAAAGGAAAATCGTGAAGGAGAAAGCAAAGGTGACAGACGAGCAAGGAAAGAGGGTTGCCTTTTATCACAGGTACAGGAAAGATGTCATTTGCATTCAACTGGAGTTTAGGATTTGCATGGTATCCTCAAAACTGGAATCTCATGGAAGATACGTGATGAAATTGAGGAGATATTGCAGAGTCATCCCATCCTCGAAGGTGTTGATGCTGCTGCCGGAGTTTCCATTCACAAATCTTTGAAAAAAAAATCGAAAATCCATAGAAACAAAAACCGTCAGGGAGAGTGACACTAGGCGTATCATGTAGTTGTGATATTTCTACACTTGTAGGTATCATGTTTTAACATAATTATAAGGTTTAGTTGAACTAAAAAGACATCAGATTTTGTGGTGTAGTTGGTTATCACATCAATCTAACACACTGTAGGTAGGTCTTTGGTTTAAGTTTAGGTGAATCCATTTATTTTCATTCTTTTCAACTTTTTTTTTTCTTTTAAAATAGAAAAGGAGGAAATACAAAACATTCACCGTTACCAAATATTGAGCCCATTCACTTGTGTAATAGATGGACATACTTACCATTATACTACAACGACCTTGTTAAAATTAAGTTTGTTATTTTCATTTAAAATCAAGGTAACATGTAATAGGACATGATTTATGCTTATGATTCCAAGGAGTGCACTCTACTTTTATTCTTTCTTATGTCATAATAGATTTTAGTGATTTGTTTATTTATGTTGTGCTTGTATATTTTTTTCTATAAATATTTAATTTAATTGTGTATTGAAATTATTGTTAATTATAGAAATTAAATTCAAGACTATGATTGCTTTTGATTTGATTGCAATTGTTATATTCATTCATAAATAAACTTAAAATTTATTAGGATATTAGTCGTTGCTCCTACTAGATCGAGAATTGTCGGTGGATCGAGAATTGTCAGTGAGAGGGGTGGTGGGGCTTGGTCATTGTAACACTCCGAAAATCTGGTTAGTAGTTTCAGGTATAACGTTGAGCTTGGAGTACTTAAGTGAGTCTAATTTAAATATTTGGGTTAAGAATAAAGAGAATTGGGCTTGAGGGAAATCCCATAAAGTATTAAAAATGGTATTTTTGTATTAAGGTCAAAATAAGGATGACCAAGGGAGCAATTTACCCATAGTTTGAAACAAAATCTAATATCCCTTAATTGTGCATATGTCACAAGTTGGGAAGGACTCACCTTTGTCTTCTTCTTCATCTTCACCTTTTTTTTCTTTCTTCTTCCTCTCCAAAACTCCCAAAGGTAGAAGCTTTATTGTCCTCAAGTTTGGTGGACCTAGTGTTGTTACTCTATCCACTTTGATTAATGGACTTTGCAAGCAAAACAAGGTTTCTCAGGCTGTGAGCCTGTTTGATGAAATGGTTGAGAAGGTATCAACCTAATTTAATTGTTTAAAATACACTTCTTAATGGTTTGTGTAAGATCGGCAGTAAAGTTAAAGCTGTTAGGTTTCTAAGGATGATGGAAGAAAGAGGTTTCAAACCCAATATTATAGCATACAACACATTCATAGATTGTTTTTGTAAGCACATATCGATAAAGGAGGCTCTTGATATCTTTTCTGAACTAAGGTTAAGGGCATTAGACCATATACTATTTGTAATGCCCCAAATATTAATTTAGGGACTATATTGAAATGATTAAAAAATATGAGGATTTATTTTATTAAATAATGAAAGATGAGAAGGATTAGGATAAATAGTTTAGACTAAATTGTGATAATGGATTATTAAGGGGGCATTCTAGTCTTTTAAAGGGAAGAGAAATTTAGTTGTATTTTAAATTAGTATTAAAGATAAGGAAAAGGGGATTAGGCTGCAAAAAGTTCTCTTTCTTCTTCTTCCTCTTTCCCCGTAGAAGAGTTACTTCATAAGCTCAAAGGTAAGTTTTCAATTTAATGGTTTATTCTTTCATTTTTTGCTAGTTATTGAATCTTTATATATGATGGAAGTTTAATGAAGGTTTAGATGGGATTAAAATAATGAGATAAGGGAAATAAAAGAGATTTTAGAAAATGAGTTTTATAATGATATGTTAATATATAAAGGTTTATTAATGTTTGTAGGTAAAATTGACTTTCAATAAGGTAAATGAAAGATTAGAAGCATTGGTTGAGTGAAATAACAAGTTAGAAATTGTGGTGTGATTCTTAAAATCAAATGCTCTTGAGGAATATTAGATGTTTTAAGCGTCTAAATGAAGGAAAGTTAGTAGGTTAAGTAGAGAAGTGTTATATAATATTGTTAGGGGTAAATGAGAGGAAAATTGGCCAAAGTTGGGTAAGTTTCGGGTTGAAAACTAGAAAATCTGGGCAGGGGTATCGATACCATAGGCAAAAATTGGGCTGAATTATAAGAAAAGTATCGATACTGATTCAATCAATATCGATATCGAACTATGTAGTATCTATACCATGGTAAGGGTATCGATACCAAGAAACATCGAATCTAATTTTGGTATCGATACCGGAGGGGGTATCAATACCAAAATATAGTAGTATCGATACCATGGTGAGGGTATCGATACCAAGAAACATCGAAGCTAATTTTGGTATCGATACTGGAAGGGGTATCGATACCATAGTAGGGTAGTATCGATACCATAGTAGGGGTATTGATACTGAAGGGTCAGAAATTGTAAGTTGGACTGATAGAACAGTACCGATACCATAGGCAAAAATTGGGCTGAATTATAAGAAAAGTATCGATACTGATTCAATCAATATCGGTATCAAACTATGTAGTATCGATACCATGGTAAGAGTATCGATACCAAGAAACATCAAAGCTAATTTTGGTATCGATACTGGAAGGGGTATCGATACCATAGTAGGGTAGTATCGATACCATAGAAGGGGTATCGATACTGAAGGGCCATAAATTGTAAGTTGGACTGATATTGTTGTAGAAAGGTTAATAATAAGTATTTTGATTAATGTTAAGTTATAATTGTTAGGAAATACACTAACAATTGATATTATGCATGTATTTAATAAATGTGGGATAGATCGAAATCAAGCTCCTGAGTCGCGTAAGGCGAAAGGCAAGGGCCAAGTTCCAGAGTAATTGTCTTCCCATTTTGGATATCTAAGCAAGACGAGCCAGTTGAGTGCATTTAATTATGTATGTATATACTATAATAATCATAATGGTATGATTTATTGATGTATGTATGGTGATTACCAAATGGCACTTTGTGCGCTAAAATAAGAAGGAAATTATACTAAGTGTATGAATTTCCAGATAGGGCACTTTGTGTGCTAAAATTATAAGGAAATCATACTAAGTGTATGAATTTCCAGATAGGGCACTTTGTGTGCTAAAATGATAAGGAAATCATACTAAGTGTATGAATTTCCAGATATGGCACTTTGTGTTCTAAAATGATAGGGAAATCATACCAAGTGTATGAATTTCTAGATATGACACTTTGTGTGCTAAAATGATAAGGAAATCATACTAAGTGTATGAAATTCCAGATAGGGCACTTTGTATGCTATAATGATAGAGAAATCATACTAAGTGTATGAATTTCCAGATAGGGCACTTCGTGTGCAAAAATGATAAGGAAATCATAATAATTGTATGAATTTCCTATTGAATTTAAATATTCCTTGATACGTGAAGTATAATAAAATAAATTGTTCCTAGAACTTCACTTGTGATTAATTATGCCCCAATAAGTAATACTTAACGTGTGTTTATTTCACACGTAGGTTGAATACAGCTGAGTAAGAAGATCTTTGGACATCCAGTCAGAGTCGTTTCATCAGTAACCGTGTGACATACCTATCTACTTTTGTCATATTTTAGTTGTCATGTAATAGGGTTTAGTAAAAACACTCTAATCAGTATGTAGATTAAACTGTTGTAAAATGATGAATTGTTTGAACAACTCTTTTTGTTTGTCTACTTAAGTTAATGTATGTTTTCTTTTAAGTGAATTAAATGTTTTATAAAATAAAACAAAATTATACGGGATTTCAAATTTAAGAATTAATAATATTAGTGATGTGACATATGTACCTCGTATATGTATGGGTATACGGGAGTTGGGTGTTACACTATTACTTACAATTGCTTAATTCATGGTATGTGTAATTTGGGCCAGTAGGAGGAGGTAACAAGACTTTTGAATGAAATGGTGGATAACAATATTTCCCTCGATATTTTCACGTATAATATATTGATCAATTCACATTGCAAGGAAGGGATAGTTTTTGAAACTGAGCATATTGTTGACTCAATGATAAAGCATGGCATTGAGCCTAATGTTGTCATATATAATACATTGATTGATGCATATTGCAAGGAATGAATGATTTCTAAAGCTGAGGATATTATTGACATAATGATAAAGCAAGGGATTGAGCCTGATCTCTTTACCTATAATGCATTAATAAATGGTCATTGCTTGGGAAACAAGGTGGATAAAGCTAGAGGAGTTTTACGATTGATGATTAAGAAGGGTT